AATTAGAAGCGTGTCGCATTTTCGGTAATGCATATTCGCGCTTTTGAGTAAGTTTCCACCGAGCGTTCGAATCGGGTCAGAGTCGGGTTAGATTCGGGTCAGAGTTGGGTTGGCTTGCCTGTTTCCACCGAACCAGTGTTACACCAGAGTTGCACCAGGGTTGCGGCAAGGTTGAACGTTACCAACTGTGCAAAATGTCAACAGTAGCTTGACATATGAAGGTTATGTAACTATTAGAACATAAAAATATTATGGATCCGAGAGCCATAATTTTAGTTGCACAGTACCAAAGTAATATGCATAAATTATTTCATTACAAAATCGTCGACGAAGATTAGCACAAAAGTTATGGCATACAATGTTTATAATTATGAATACATATTTGCTTGCATTTGGACAAATAATTGCAATGCAAAGTTGTAGACGATCTCCGCGAATATGGATGAAAGCCAGAAGTTCTGACTTTTGGGAAAGAATAGTATTGACAGAATATTTAGATGAAGACTGGCTTGAAACCTTCAGGATAAAAAAATCTGTATTTGATTACATATGTGACAAACTATATAATAGATTACAACCCGCAATACCATTCTTGGTAGCTAGAGTGCCAATTTCTGTTGAAAAGGCAATTGCAGTCACCATATTCTACCTGGCAAGCTGCTGTGAATACAGAGTTGTTGGTCACTTGTTTGGAATTCACAAGACATCAGTATGGAGATGCGTCCACAAAGTTGTCGAAGCAATAAATGACATACTACAACCATTGTGGATCAAGATGCCTAATGAATTTGAATGTACGATGATTGCTCAGATGTACGAGGAACGTACACATATCCCACAACTTATTGGAGCTATTGATGGCACTCACATTCCCGTGTTACCACCTGCAGATGGGTATAGAGACTACATCAATCGAAAGGGATGGCCGTCAATAGTATTACAAGGAGTAGTTGATCATACACAAAGGTATGGACATATAATAAGTTATGCATATAAAAGTTTATAATAATATATTTTACGTACAACTCAACGTTTTGAATAATTAATGTTAGATTTAGAAATATTAATTGCAAAGCACCTGGGTCGGCACACGATGCAGCAGTCTTTAAAGAGTCAAATTTGTTTCGACACTACAAACATTTAATACCGCAGGTGAGATAACCAATCTTATTAATCTTATTATTGAAATAAAATCATTGAATTTCTGACTTGCAATAACGGATACAAATAATTAGTCCAGATAACTAATTACTCAAATAAATTATCAATATTGGAGTAAGATTCAACAATTGCTGTAGTTAGAACTAGATTAATATTATAGAGAAAATATTGTTACAGATTATTCAAATTTAAATCAACGTACCAATATAAATTTATAATTGAGGCTGCGTTCCGATATTCAGTGCCAGTATTGAAAATGTATAGTGTATGTGACATTCAGTACTGGCAGTAAATATCGGAACGCAACTCGTAAAGCCCGTATCAGACTACGGATTGGGATTGAGATTGGATTGAAATTTAATCAATCAGAATAAAGAAAAGTAATCTCAAGTTTAGTAAACTTTACTCTGATTGGTAAAATTTCAATCTAATCTCAATCCCAATCTATAGTCTGATACGGGCTTAATAATATTCCTTGCATAAAACTTTCAGAAAACAGTGACACTAAATGGTGCAGCAATACCTTTTATGATAATGGGAGATCCAGCATATCCTCTGCTCTCATGGCTGCTGAAAGGATATACTAAATGTAGACGTCTTACGCCAGAAGAAGAATCATTCAATGTTTATTTAAGCACTGGACGTGTGGACATAGAAATAGCATTTGGACGCTTAAAAGCGCGGTGGCGTCGCATTTTAAAAAGAATTGACGTCCATTATTCTTTTGCGCCCCAAGTCGTAGCTGCTTGCTGTGTGCTTCATAACATTGTGGAATCTCACAAGCAAGAATTCAAACATACATGGATGAGAGATATCGATGAATCTGATGTACTGTTTCCACAACCAGAAGGAACAAGATCACGTGAATATGGATGATTTGGATGCATCGAACATTAGAAAGGTCCTCATGAATCACTTATCACAATTTCCACTACGGAGATCATTTTGCTGATATACGGGGCAAGAGTAAAGAATAGGTCAACAATATTTTTTTTAATTTTAATGCTCAATATGTAATTTATTTTAATATCAATATAATTTTGTATCAATATAATTGTGTATCAATATAATTTTGTATTAATATCAATATGTTAATAACATAACTTATTATATATATCCTTAGAACAAATCTTAAAATTACTATTAATTCTTTTGTAGAACATAAAATCTTTGGTAACTCGTATGAAACGAATAAACGAAGGTAACTCGTAAGAAACAAATAAAATGCGTAATAATAATAAGTAAAAATAATATGCACAAAACAAAAATAATCTTAGTTCTTAAAAAATATGTAATAATTCTCGTATTTGTACTTAGCAATTGCACTTCTTTAAATTGCTGATTATTTCAGTCACTTTGAGCACCATCTAAATATTTTGTCTGTTTATCCTTAGAACAAATCTTAACATTATTATTAATTTTTTTGTAGAACATAAAATCTTTGGTAACTCATATGAAACGAATAAACGAAGATAACTCGTAAGAAATGAATAAAATGCGTAATAATAAGTACAAATAATATGCACAAAACAAAAATAATCCTAGTTCTTAAAAAATATCTAATAATTCTCGTATTTGTACTTAGCAATTGCACTGCTTTACACTGCTGATTACTTCAGTCATTTTGAGCATCATCTAAATATTCTACCTGTTCATACTCAATGTCCGAGCTTTCTTTATCTTCTTCAATCACAGGACGAGATAATGATTCACTTTGTCGTATAGTGGATACTTGACGTGAAGAGGATGGATTTTGGACAAGTGACTGATGCGGTATGAGATTTGGTCGGATAACAGTTGCAGGTGGTAAACTTGTAAATTTAGGAAGCGCTTTTTCAATTTGATCTGGCTTTGGGCAAGTCTGCATTTCGTGCCATGGCGAAGTATAAGGATGAGCTGTATTCTTATTGTTCTGAGGTAGTAGAGTTTCTGTGAACATCGGACTCATTGGTGGCATAGTTGGAATTCTAGGAAATTGCTGAACCGTTGGATAATTTGTAGGTAACGGCGATTTCAAATTTTGCAGCCCTGTGAGTAACATTTGCGTTTGCTGCAAGAAGATATGATTATATTGATTAAGCATCTCCTGATCAAGCTTGCGCTGTTCTTCAATAGTTTTTGTCAGTAAATTTTCTTGCGATTCAATTATTTGCTGTGTAAAGTTTTGCATAATCTTCAGATTAGATCGTGGACCTTCGCGCCTTGGATATGTAGGTGTTTTACATATTTTACGTTTCTTAGAAGAAGCGCATAGCTTGTCAGAGCCATCAAGTTCACACGAATCTAAGGAAGGCATTGAACTGGCATTGCTGTCTTCCGATAAACAGCTGAACGTTGGTGATAATGGACTTCTTAGGACATCAGAAGATGATGTTCGGTGACTAGTTGAAGTAGATGGT